ATAAACGATTAAATTTCCAAAAGTGTCTTTATAATTCTTAATAATCCAACTGTAGTCGGTCTTCTGATCAAAAGGTAATAGATAATTCCAGAATATAAACGTTCATAGGAATATTTCCAGACTATAAATGTTCATAGAGATATTTCCAGAATATAAACGTTCATAGAGATATTTCCAGACTGTAAATGGACTGAATTCCAATATTAGTTAGACTGTAGTTGAATTCTCCATCGTGACAGTTCAATTCGATTCCAATAGACGTAGGTTGGACGCACTTTTCCAAAACACAAAATATTCAAAAAGGATTCTACAAGAAGAACCGAATCGTCTGAGCGACTTTGCAGCCAAATGCATTATAATAGTGTTATATAATGTCAACTATATTCTCCACAGTTTCATCTAGTGCAAGCTATCAAATGCTTTCTCGTAGCCGATGAAGCTGATGTGCTGATGAATTCCATTCCACTGATTCTTCCACAATGATCCCTAATGTTGCAGTCTGGTCGGTACACGATCGTTCCTTACAACGGAATCCTGCCTACTGACCTTAAAATAAGCGTCTACGGAATCTCTCATTTAGTTTAACAACACTCTAGAATACCTTCTCTGGTACTGATAGTAGAGTGATCCTTTTGCATTTCTCACACTTGCTGAGATCGCCTTTCTTTAATATATTGATCAGGTGTTTATATTTCCAGTCTGTTGTAAGTTGTTCTTTATCCTAAATCTTTCTGTATGGAGCGTACATCTCTGCAGTCACTGTGACGTCCGCCTTTCAGTGCATCTGCTGAAATGTTGTATGGTCTCGCTACTTTGCCGCTCTTAACTTGGCTGACTGTTGGGGGGTAAACATTGATTAAGAGGTTCGTGGATGTTGCTTCGATGTTGAGTGGGTTCATTCGGACTCGTCGACTCAGTTCTACGAAATGCTCTACCCAACAGTATGGCTGTCCTTCAATCTCGGTGAATACTCTGCCTTCCTTACTTTTCACTCGCCAATCTGATGTACGATATTTTTCAGCGAGCTTCTTTGTCGTATCACAAAATTGTCTCGTGTTTCTATCACTTGCAGCTTTTCACGTCTTCAGATTTACGTTTGTACGGCTCTAATTGTCTTCACTTGCTCATCTGCTTCTATGTATTCAGCTTGTGCTTTGGCTTTCTCTGCTGAGGTTCGGCTGATATTGATTGCTGCCTTCTTGTTCCTCCTTTCTTGAATTTTACCCCGTGTACTATCAACGATCCATTCCTTAAGATAGTGCTTCTTGTGGCTCAGAACCTTATGACATATTGAGGTGAATGCCTTCCTGATCCTTTTCTAGGAGTTCTACATGGTGGCAGTTATCCCGAACAATTGCCACATTAAACTTTTGTGATGCCGTCAACCTTCTTGTCCAGCGCTTCCAGAGTTTCAGGCTCATCATATCCACCACAAGTCATGATCTGAGGCTATATCAGCTACTTTCTTAGTTTTTAAGTCCTAGATTAACCTTGTTGTTGTTCGTTCGAATCTTGACATTACTTACGTCAATCACCATTGGTCAAATCCTTTGTTGGGAATTTATTGACGAGTGACTAAAGTTTCTCATCAAGCTGATTTTTAAGGTTTTCTTTTTCCTTCGGTAGACTCATAACATTAGACAAGGTTCATTGTAATACTCTCTTCATTTGTTTCGAAGGATGCTTTGATGACCCTAGGTCTATGAAATTCCTATCCTGTAAGTGATTTTTGTGCTTCTTTGTATAACATCAGTGTAACTCTATCGGTATATGAAAAATTTTCTACTTCTTGGCCGAGATATAATAGCGACTCTACCGAAGCTAAACTTTATTGCCCAACTTGATTTCAATGCGGTTCACTGAATCCAAGTATCAACAGGTTGCACGTCTTCATTCCTACAGTAACTAGGATGACTATCGTGGTCTCCTACAATGGACGAACATCTCAAGTATCTAAATTAATGGTTGCACTGGTTGTCAGGAGGGGCATCGGCTTCGTGACTTCCGAAGGAATTTGGCACTCATGATAAAACCTCATAATTCTAGTAAACGAAGACCTTTTAACTACCATGGTAGAGTTTGACTTGCTTGAATTAATTTTTCTGGTTGGCGTTGTTTTAGCGAGTTAGTTTTCTACGGGTCATCATCAACGCACCAAGTAGGAAGTGATTTGTGGCGACAAACAAATCCTCGTAATAAATATTTCTGTATGTCTTTTACGTTGATGCTTACCTAATCAGCTTTAAGGAACATGAGTGAGCCTAAGGAAATCGGCCACGTATCCGCACCAAATAACTGCAGGGTACACAGTATGACACATCTGCTCATATCAACTAGTAGGCTTAGTTCACTCCATCCTCGACATCCGAACTATCTCTCAAGTATACCTTCAAAAGACTTCCTTCCAGGCTTCGGGTTGGACTTAACTTGTGGTAATCTTGACTGAAAGGAAATGTGGACAAAAGCGTTGACCTACTTCGAATATCCATCACATCTGAAAAAGGATTACTGAGTAACTCATGTGCAATATCTTTAACACAATTTCGTTACCATTAAAGTTTTAATCATGAACTCGGGTAATTTTTTGAATATGCATTTAGGAAAACATGGTCTATATGATGAAAGATAATCGAAATAAGGTGAGACGTTTGCTGCTGAGATATGACTTCTAGCAGTTTAGTAACTGTGGGCTCTGTACATTCTACATTCAAATATTCCTTAGCTTATAGGTTCACTAACCTAAATAAAAAGCCTGAATTCAGTAAAACTTGGCGGGTATATGCCAAGTTCGATAGTGTTGTAGTAAATCCACTTTAATGGAGAGAAAGCTATTGGTCTAATAGAAACATTCATTATTACAACCACTTGTACCAGTGATCGTATAACTGTACTTTTTGACAGTTACACTCTCTAAGCGTAAACTTCCGTTTGTGTTGCTGCCATTTTCGCTCCACCGTCTCAGTAATTTCACATCTCTTTTCTGGCACGATTTCGGTATTCTTTCGATACCACGAAATCGCCAGTAAATATATTCTTTACCATGGAATAACCCTTCTTATCTGTGACGGGCTCGTAATTGCTGTAGTGGTAGTCAAAGTCAATATCGACATGACTGCCCCTACATTGTCTTGAAACCTCTTCTCTAAAAGTTTATTTCTGGACAATGTTTAATCATGTACTGGTACTGTCTCGGGTTGCACACTAAATCATCACCATTCAACCATCTTGTACACACTCACATTATATCACCACACCCTCCAATCCGACCAGCTTTTACACCATGTGATTGAGTATGCCTTTTCTTGATGAATTGATAAGATGCTATGGGTTTTTTCCTAGAATATGCAGGTAATCTAGACCCTGAAAGTTTTGCGTCATTTCTCCGGTTACTTATGACATAAAGTGATGACATTGACGTTACCATGATACAGACACTCAATAGTATCCAATAACATTTTCACGAGCTATTATTAAATGATTTCTTTGCACCCGATTCCTGTTCTTTCCATGTGTTTCCAGGTATTTGGTCCGATTAAAACTGGATCGTGCAAGTCGGTATCGATCTGAGCCGTTTGCTTATAGAAATTAAAGATGTTAAATAATTACGTCCTAGTTTCCTAGACCTGGTGTGTTTTAAATATCTGTGCACAGGTATGTGAGGGTCGCCCATGATGCCGCCTTGTGCGAATATTGTCGAATTACCTCTTAGAATTATCGAGCAGGTGTTTAACTACCTAAGCTATGAAGAAGTTTCGAAATTAAGAGAAGTAGGTCGCTGCGTGCTTCTTTATATTTGCAGATATGCAGGTTCTTTGACGTTGTATGCCGCGGTATTCTCAACAAAGGGTTTAGGACTATTGAACGAAAAGTTGTATCATTTCATTCAGAGCTTCGATCCTTGCTGCCGAGACGGGAATCTGAGCGTCGAAATCACCCTCTCAACAGGTTTGCGCGATTTCAATAATAAATTTTTTTAGACATTGTGAAACTCTATCGGCCATTGAGACACGCTTGTCTCTTTTAAAAATGAGCATCATGCGTTTTGCAGACAAAAATGGCTGTTGTTTTTTCCCTGGAAGAGTTCTTGATGAAATTGAAGGTGTCTGTCAGTTCATACGATTGAACCAAAACGTTCCAATAAGACCGTATGATATATTGCATGAGCTTCGAGATATATCATCAATGGCAATGGAGCATTTTGAAGAAAATATCCTTCCATCCCTACATCTTAAGTCAGATGTTGGTAAGAAAATTTTCCATTTTAAATCGTCGCACTATTTTTTTAGCTCAATAGGTTAATCATGTCATACAAAATGTCTAAAAAGTTGTTCATGTATTACATAAAGGCTTCTGAATTACCTTGAAAGTTAATGATAAACATAGGTTGTTATGTATTGGCAATATTCGCCGATATTTTCCCAAGTTCGTACCTTTGTAAAAACGACTTTCATATGTGCTTCATCTGTATATTGAGTCCCGCGTTCATATCTTACAAAATTATAGTGTTGCATCTGGTGATGATAATTCTGGTACACTATTGCGTTTTATGTGTGGAAAAAAAAGAGTGGAGACATTTGAATAAGCTACAGTGGCATTAAAATTTAGAAAATAGACTCAGTAGTAGTAAAATCTTAAGTCGAAGATCACTAATCCATTGCTGTGAGCGTTGGTATATTCCTTTATATCTTATATTTATTTAGACATAGTGGTTTGACATTACAATATGTTGTTTTAGTATCTATTTTGATGCTTAATCGGTACTAGGTAGTTCGTGGTTATCATCTGAACTTGTAAGTCCTTCTGTTAGTCAAGCTCGAGGCCCTATACCATTAGAAGAGCTCCGTGCAGTTTCTTCTTTCAAGCGGCAACAATTGAACCAGTTAGCCCAGCGTTCAAATCAACTTCCTGATTTGGTGAGTCCCTTTATGTTTACCTTAATTTTTCCGCAATCGACGTATAATGTCTGATTCCAAATAATCAGCATGTTAGTTGTCGCTGTTTGGAGGTATCTGTGACTAGATATTTTTAATTTTATTTAATCACATAAACGTTGGTACAACAGTACACCTAAATATTGATGTCTTACAAAAATTATTAAATCTGTGAGTGGATTGGAATACTGCCTTGTTGCTGAAACTGAAGTATGTAAGCGCGTGCGACTGCCGAGGTATTTTCTTTGTTTATTTCTTAAGCCACTCATAATGATTTATTAAAACTAGTGTCATTCAGCCACTGAAAATGTATAAAATGTTATCCAGAAGTCCAAAATTCGCATTTGATTTTCATGCCTACTTAATAATCGGATTCAAGCTTCTAATATCTGGACACAATATATACTAATACTGTAAATAAAAGGTTGTAAAACATGGAAAGATGAGGAAAAGACGAACTTATAAAATATTCTACGCGCAGTAGTCAGTTCCGTTAGCAGCCCTTCTGAGGTTACTACTGGTCCCAAGCCCGGATAAGCGAAGAGTGTTAGGCATGATGTTAGCGTCCCTATCCCTTCGAAAACTGACTCGCTAAAACAACGCCAACCAGAAAAATTAATTCAAGCAAGTCAAACTCTACCATGGTAGTTAAAAGGTCTTCGTTTACTAGAATTATGAGGTTTTATCATGAGTGCCAAATTCCTTCGGAAGTCACGAAGCCGATGCCCCTCCTGACAACCAGTGCAACCATTAATTTAGATACTTGAGATGTTCGTCCATTGTAGGAGACCACGATAGTCATCCTAGTTACTGTAGAAGTACAAAGATATAACCTGAAATTAGGTTGAAGAGTGCTGGTCGGTGGCCTGTGCTTCAATAGAGGTAACAGACGTAAGTAACTGTGGCATAGCTAAAAGCTGCTCTTTAATCCAGCCTTTCTTAAAGATGTAATCTTCTTTTTTTAAATGAATCTGGGATGGTCTATTAATTTAAACTTACAAATTGGTACAAAGCGGCCCCTAATATTTACGCACTAAACAAATTACTAGATTTGTGAGTAGATTGGAATACTGCTCTACTCCATTCTCACATATTCGATCTAAGCTTCACAGGAAACTCATTCGTTGTCCTCTCAAATTCGTGGACAACACCCCTGTCACAAGATAGGGGTTATATACGCGTTACTTTGTTGTATATTCGTATTTTTATTAGTATACGAACGATAAGTTTTCTGTAGTGTATTTAACAGATGTGTATGTCTCACAGAATACCCCATCATCTGAAAAGATAATCGTTTTTTCTAACGATCTGTGATTGTGATCTTACTGAGTGATTACCACATTCGTTGTTGGAGTCAGATTGTTAAAAGGAATTGGCATGATTTCTCATCTGTGATTTGTAAAATTGTGTTCAACATACTATTAAGGGGTGGTTATTTTTTAAGAAAATGAATCCGAAGTTTTATCCTGAAGGCACTCGTTCATGAGCGTCTTCGTTTGTTATGTTTCTGAATAATTCGCACTAATCGTCCATCACCGGTTAGTCTGTAGTGTTTAACTTACAACCTGTGACTATTATACATTAACTTAAGTTCCCACGATACATCCTTACAATTAGATAAAATTAAACCAGTGAATATCAACGCATTCAAAATAGTAGCTGTATTAATGATATAGGTACTAAACATTGAAATGAGGTTGTAAAATGAATTGTATTGCAGACAATGTTACCGTTCAAGATCTAGAAGATAAAGAGTAAATGGATGTGCACCACCTAGATCGAATCAAAGCCATATCATCCAGTATTTCCAAATCCTGGTGGTGGTTGTCATCATGAACCCGACCAAGCAGTCTGTATCTGTCAACAAGAATCAGCCATTGATTTCATGGGCTGATTCTATGTCTTGGTTCCGTTGCCCTTAGCCTTCTTCAATTTCGCTCCAGCTAGTGTTACTTATTGTAGTCTGCAGACATATTTCACACGTTTCTTATCCTCCTCTGTCGATGAAGATACAAACCTCATCAACTAATTTGTTATCTCTGACTAGTATCCTACATATAATCTCAGAACCACTCACTCGGTCATTCACCTCAGCGCGAGCAATGGTTCTAACAAATCCTCTCATCAGTACCTTTAAACCTACCTCCTTGAGTTTACATAGTTGCTTTTTGTTATCCGTTTCATGTGCACAGGCTGCTATGGAATAGCACATCACTTAAAATGCGAGCGTCCTCCATAAAATATCAACATGATTATTGATGCTAATTTTGTTCAAAATCTGCTTATTTCTTCCAGACTATTATGCATTCAAACTAAAATATCTAGCATCTGGTCATGATGATTGTAGAATAGATAGTCTTTAAATTGTCATTGTTTCAAAGACAATTGTTGTACGTATTCTGTCCCGTAGTGTATGGAATGTCACGATCAAACATGTCGGCAAAACAAACGTTATGATTTTCTACTGATGATATTTATTGTTAATATTTTATTATTATAACCAGCACAGCCATTTAGATGTGTTGTCTATCATGTGTTGAGGGCTTGTATTTTTACATAAGATGTTATATTTGCTTTGTTTTATTCACATTAATGTTAACTAACATGTTTATTGCTGTTATTCAGAAAAATATCGCCTATCAGGAGTCAGAAATTGTTCCTAATGAGTTAAAGGTTAATCAGAAGTTAACTGCAGATATGAAGCGACTTAAACAAGGTCACGCTTTAAACATGGCCCACATTTGTAAATTGAGTCGTATGGTTTATCATTTGCTTCGTAAACAACGAGCAGTGACTGAGCAGAACAAACTGTTCGGTTCATTAATAAAAATGCAAAGTCGTAGGTATGTTATTTCAGTTTTATCAATCATATAATTTATTCTGGTTTTCTAACATAATTATTGGTTATTTTAAAATTAAAAAGTAATTCGAGTTGCATGTGAGGATTGAAATGACCTCTTTATAAATGTAATGCTTTGTATTCTGTAACATCGATTGTTTTCTCCATTTTTCTAAACATATACCAGAAAAACATATTGTTCAGTTGATACTACATTTATTTAACAAAGAACCATCGGGCAACGATTGAGGATATTAGAATTCTCAAAAAAGCCGATCATTCTTATTTTCTCAAAATTTATTTTTTTCGAAGTTAAATACAACATTTCTTCTAAAATCCACTATATTATAGCCTTCACATTCTCTTTGGATGTTAGCAGTTTCTCACCAGTTCGCCTATATTATACTTATGTCAGCATGGATGGTGGTTAGCAGTGAAATTTCGGATGCCCGTTTCGTTCTATTTGGGACTCGTCAGGTGGATGTGCCTGGAACTCGAATCCAGTAACGGTAGCTTCAACTGCTATCGCGTTACCCATATTGTAGTTCGCTAACGTATTACCAAGGTTCCGGTAATAACGTAAATGTATTTATTCACAATAGTCCTTGACCGTTTAACTGAATTACATTGGTAGGCAAAGACTACCTTGTTTTGATCCATGCGTCTCTTATGACCAATGAATGCAAATGTTGTGACATGTTTCAGAACCAGTGGATTGAAATAAGCAGTTTGTTTATATTTATTAATGTAAGGTATTATCTTTGTTTTATCTGTACTATCTATTTGTTAATACATTATGGACATTGCAAAGATTTAGTTGATTTAAATCGAATGTTTTACTCATTATCATAATCATCCGTCTTATTTTTTGTTGATGCTCTGTTCAGAATAAAGCAATTAGAGGCTATTTGTGGCACGGATATTTTCAATGGTTCAAATGGATTAGGGTCAACTTCGTCGAATGCTTGCACTGCGTCTTCACCGAGCCATGACAATCAGTTATCTACATTTAATGACCAGAAAATTTTAAAATCTCGTAATAAGAGAGTTAGATCTATTAGTGATAAGGAAGTTGATTGCATGCTGCCCTCAAAAATACTTTTCTCGTCAGATATTGATTAATTTCTGTATTGAAAAAGCTTCCTATTTCTTCTTTCGAAAAAGTTCATTCACTGATATATGTAATCGAGAAAACTTAAATTAGTACGACTAACTTCATTATATTTCTCTTTCAGATGAATTATCAAGTTTCTTTTGTACAGTGTTACTTTATTTCTCGAAATGTACATAGGTTTATTATTTGAAATATAACTATTATTAATATCAACCACATATTCTTTACTCTTGTGTACATTAATATCAGGTGAAACCATATTCTAATTGTGCGGAAGATATACGCCACTTTATGTAATAATTATGAATGGTCAACTTGTGACAAATATTAAAATCCAGTACTCAATCCATATCAAATTATAAAGAAAAACCCACTGGATGATATACGAAACTATTAGATTCCTAATTTACTAATAGTAACTTGCGCATGAAAACGACTTATAAACTTTAGATGGATAGTGATCACAAGATATTATTGTTGACAGGAAAATCGACTTTAATTTCGACGGACTACAGCAATTCGGTATATCTAATTATTTTTTACACATTTGAAATCATTAATCAATCATCATTGTTAGACCACCATTAGAAACCTGGAAGCACTGGACGGCCGTTTCGTCCTAGTATGGGACTCCTCAGCAGTGCGCATCCACGACTCCTGCTCCTCGCAGGATTCGAACCCGGGACCTTTGGCATTGTAGGCGAACGCCTTACCATCGGACCACTGGGCCGGCATCCAACGGTGTTAATGTCTAACTCTGATTGATCAAGGGATTTTGCGCGACCTCACCCATTTGTCTTTGGTAGTTACTGCCTACACCCGACAGGGTTGAACTCCACTGGTCACGTCTTCTCAACTAGAACTCCGAGAATTTCCTCACGAAGCTAGTCACTAGTGAGCACTGTTATGATATATTGGGGCACAGTTTTGGAGGTTTGCGTTTTTTACACATTTGAAATCATTAATCAATCATCATTGTTAGACCACCATTAGAAACCTGGAAGCACTGGACGGCCGTTTCGTCCTAGTATGGGACTCCTCAGCAGTGCGCATCCACGACTCCTGCTCCTCGCAGGATTCGAACCCGGGACCTTTGGCATTGTAGGCGAACGCCTTACCATCGGACCACTGGGCCGGCATCCAACGGTGTTAATGTCTAACTCTGATTGATCTAGGGATTTCAAATGTGTAAAAAACGCAAACCTCCAAAACTGTGCCCCAATATATCTAATTATGATAGAAGAGATTCAAGACAATTTATTAACGTTGACAATTCTCGTATTAATTACCAAGCTGCACAATTTAAATCAATAACCAATATGTTTAAATAAATAGCATGGTATCGATTCTATACACTGTAAAACTAATTCCCACTTCTGGACAATGAACCGTTATCTGGCTCAGTCGTTTTACTCTCATTGTTCAAAATTATTGAGTATTCGTTGAAGTTTACATTAACATTAAACTGATGTGAAATATTGTGAACTGATAGAATAGCACAAGCTTCAGGTATTGAAAAAGATAGAATTTCGTGATATATAAAGAGACGAAACTCCCCCCGAGATACATGAGGTTTCGCTAAATATCCCACTTATTGGATGATCCATACAAGTTGTGGAGCGCCATCATATATCAGCCAGTCGAACTTATTTGCCATTGCCACCACCGAAACTGCTACATTGTAATGGTGGTCCGGATCGCCTACTGTGACGACCCATCCCAAATATATTGGCTAAAACATATGTTCCTATAGGTCCTAAAATGTCAGGCAAGGCGATTCGAGAACGGTAAAACTACAAGCACCATCCTAAGGTCTGAGGGCGAAGTCGTACTGCTGACTGTAAAGGGGTGTGACAGCAGTAAGGCAAGCTCGACTCACACGTCAATGTAGCAACTACGGTCGGGTTGTAGTTTATTATAAGGAAAAGTAAGCTCACATTGACGTCTCATCAGATTTAAATGTCTGTAAGTGAACTTTAAGCATGTACAATAATCAGGTACTGTGGTTTTTAATTGGTGGTAGTTTAAAATGAATTTCAAAAAATGGGCGGTTGGAGTTAGATTAGTTATAAGCTATGTACAAATGTGGAATGATGTCACCTGTGTACTTCAAAGAACACGTTTAGAAAAATGTCTCAACTGAGTTTATTTTCATTTAATTTTCGTGGATGATGATTTGGTGCAAATTATAAGCACAAGTGTGATAGTTCTTTCACAACAAGCTATAAGGCCTTCAAGATTGTTCCCATGCGAACTCGACAGACAGCTGCATCTAAAAATCCATATTTATTTGTCGGTGGTATTTTGTGAGAATGGAAGGGTGTGCATGTTAACCGTACGTTGAATGTCTGATGTCTATGATAGTAGATAGCTATTCGGTTCGCACCGAAAACAGAGCGGACACTTCTGCTGCATCGAAACAATCAACAGTCGGATTATTGTTCATTGTGTTGAAAATAACAAATCATTACCCCATTATTTTATGACAATTTGGTAAAGTTATTCTAATCGTTTAAAAAGAAAACACGCTTTGAATAAGATGATCAATTAACTACAACTACGGAATTGATTACAATAAATTTTTGATAATTTAGTAGTGAATACAAAAATGGATTACCGTCTAAAATTTAATACAGACAGAAATAAGAAGAAAAATTTATCATTTGCACACCGGCTATTGTATCTTGTACGATCAGATAGTATATATCATGATAGAGAAGAAAATCAATTCACAATAAAAAATTCAGCATTAAATTGAATTCCAATAAATGATATATATACATATACATCTATTAGTTTGGATTGAATATTACAAGCAATGCAGTAAATCCGAAAAAATACACAATTACACGAAATTAACCATATAGATGACAAATTTAGCAGCTAATAAGGCGATAAAGTACACAACCAACCAAATAATACCAACAGACTAGAAACAACCATAGTTACATCGTGATGGATACATTTTAAAATTTAGTGTAAACATAACATTTCTCACTCAGTAGAGGTATAAGACTAGACAAAAAGTTCATTAGAAATTCTGACTTATGCATATACAAAGAAAGAAAGAGGGAACGTATGAATTCGATGAACAAATCCAAAAAAAAAGAATTGACGGAAATTGAACTAGTTTAGAGTATTATGCGTATGTATATGTATACAGGTAGGATGTAGGTATAAACAATATATATATATATTAATGTCTAGATTTTAATTCACAGCTTTAGGTAGAACGAAGAAAGTGAGAGATAAAGAATTATGCGAATTCAAAGAACGATGGATAAGTAAGAAGATGCTAACAATTAAGGATCATACTACCGGGAACTTACGAAAGGATTACTCAGTATGAAGCAGCAAAAGTAACACGATAATCATCAGGAAAATCTAGATCGTATACGTAAATAATCTCATAATCTGATGGTGAAACCGGTGAAGTACCATTAACATAAATATTATTATTACGTGGGTGGTAATTTGAGTTGTTATTTGGCATTTGAACTAAACAATGCTCAGGTGAAGTATTAGAGTGTGATTTTGGAATGATAAGGCGACGAACACAACCATTTTTAACGACTGCTACATGGTCGCCTGGTCGATTGTTCAACTCCATGTCTACAACACGTAGTAAATCAAGACCAGTTTCTACTGGGGAAACACCAGCTGCTAAAGCCATGGTAACATGAGCACGACAACCAGTTGGACGAATTACAGGAGCTATATCAGTATTGTCTGTCGAAAAGGGAGCATTAAAAAAATGAAAATTTGAAAGTAGCTTAAAAGTAAAAAACAATACAAACTGTAATAATTAACGTTACTCAAAATGGGAGTAGAGAAAATAGAAATAACATTTTATGAAATAAAATTAAAAATGTATTTCGGATTAAAGTAGCTAGTATTACGGTAATGTTGTCTACACCTGCAGTTATCGAATATTTGCTCATCTCTGATTAGCTTAGCCTAGATCGGTGTGGCCTTATAGATAGTGTCAGTCACAAATAAACAGTATATTCGTGATAACCTTTTGAAAAACACTCTTCTATTTGCTGTGTATTAGATTTAGCTACTTCACCGATTTACACGCACATCTGCGGCTTTCCAATGGTATAGAACTTAGTGAATAATTAAATTTAAAAATTTTGAGGTTATCCATAAAACCCTTGAATTTTTGATACAAGTGTCAGAGTACCAAAGACATCTTCGACAACATCCAAAAGGCAGATTCTTACAAGTCAACGAGGCATGTGGAAATTAAGACCTGAGATATACGTGTATTGATTAGTTTGTTACATTTTATCAACACAGAGGGGAAGATATGAAGAGAAACACCAAAGTACTACAAGTAGTATCAGCAGATTAGGCAGAGAAAATTAAATCCACAAAGTAATAATGAATTCGTAGGTTAAAAAAGATAATTTTGGAACTAAGGACTTAAGGGAAGACTAAAAGTGAAGACATCTATGCGACATAGCGGATTCTAGCCGGTCTGTTAATGTTTCAAACGACTGGTTATGACAGTTGTGTAAATTACAACCAGGTAGTCTTCATCTACTATTATGGATCAGCTGAACTGTCAATTACTTCATAAACTTCGGTCTGACTTCTGATAACTTCATTTCAACCTGCTCCTATATCAAAAATCGCTCTTCGAGACAGGTGGTGATTGTGCGTACGTGATAAATTTTTCAGTCATCTCAGTTAATAAAAATTCACTGCCCAATCAACAAATAGTCAAACTGATTTTTTACAAGACTATAGATTACTTTACTTACCAGTTTCTTAGCATCTAATCGGGTGTCTATCATGAACTTGTTCATAATAGGAAGACAAGTTTGTAATGAATTTATTATCTGTAAGGTTCTGTCTTTAAGTAATAACCTTTCTTAAAACAATTTTCCTTTCGCTTATCACAGAAGTTCCGACTCACTTTTTGATCCATAATTTGAGTATTTCTACAATAAAATGATTCGTTTTATTCCAACCACGCAATATTCATGGAAATCAGAGGGACGAACTGGTCTCTACCGACAACTAGTTTCATAGTTCTCAACTATGACTGAGAGATAATTTTGACTCTAAAGAGTTCAAAGCTTTAAAAAAGCTGAAACAGTGGATCAAATTGTCGTTATCCTTAGACTTGATATGCATCCAAGCATAGTTGTTATGAACACAAGTTTAAGTTAAACGTCACGTCAGATAGTGAAACTGGGTCGTTGACTCTAGTCTTATGAAGACTGTAAACATAAACAAGCGTGTTCAGGATGTTTTTATTCTCAACCCCCCACTCCGAAATGCAAAACTTTGACTCAGCATTGGCCCGCGTCGCCACTTGAACTGATGATTTGGAGTGAAGTAATTGAGCGTGTTGATCGCCTCACTTATCTTGAGAGTCTCGTCAATGCTGATTGTCAGAAGTGTGCCCAAATTTCAGCACGGACATAGAACGTTCGGCTGACTTTCGCCAAATGGAGTTACTAGTGGCGTATTCAGTCAGTCAGCTACAACGTAGAACTTCGTTCGTAGGTAAATATGTCCAGGTTGTCATACCGCATAAACGCAGAGACTCAATTGTCAATTGACCCATCCCAAATATATTGGCTGAAACACATGTTCCTGTAGGTCCTAAAATGTCAGGCAAGGCGATTCGAGAACGGTAAGACTACAAGCACCATCCTAAGGTCTGAGGGCGAAGTCGTACTGCTGACTGTAAAAGGGTCTGATAGCAGTAAGGTGTTTCCCTCGGACAACCGGGATCTGCGGCGATGCTGCCTTCTCAAAAAGAAGGAACGGATTCGGAAAGGTCGACCTTGAAAATTTCACACCTCTCCTTACCTCACGAATTTCCGTCTCCGGTAGTAAGACCTTTTAAACAAGAGCGGTCATAACATAACACTTCAAAAACTTCTCATGAAAAGGCTGTGTGTGACCAGCCTCAAGCATTTATTCCTTGGGCTCTGCAGTCGCTAAGATCAGCGCTAACACAATTATCCATTCAGGTTCCACAAGAGACACGCTTCCACGGTGTGGGCAGCCGGGAAGTTACATCCGCTTTCGTACTCGTAATAGCAAACAAAACCAAATTGGTCACAATCAAATCCTATCCTTGGACAACCGAGTAAGTTCTGTCTCGGCCAGTAGTGGTTGAGTAGAGAGACTGTATAAGTTTTAATGTACTTCTTTGGTACTACTTCCCATGACAGACTTTGGCATAACCTTTTCAACTTCACTAAGAGTCGGAAGACGTACATTCACTTGCTATCCAGGTTGACTAGATATCGCGAAGACAACTATTGTCGGACATCTGAAAGAGTCTTTGATCTACGATCTGTCGATATGTGAATATCTCGTCTTTACATACACGTCCATGTCCAAAACCAGCCTGGTTTTTCTAGTCTGCTCTTCATGAGCCCTAGTTAGGCGTCCGAGTATTATTAAGGCCAATATTTTAGATGATATATTAGTTAAACTGATTCATTTGTGATTGTAACAAGATATAACTGCTGTTTCCACAGCTTTTTGGACATCATCACAAGCGGCTTCCGGATGGGAATCACTTACATGTTTTTCTGATTGTTCCTGAAATTTATTCTTAGCTATGCTATCATTAGACAGAACCCTAAGAGGTTTCCTCGTGGTGTCTTTCCTACGTCCAGTAAGTCGCAAACGAATGCGTGCTCGCACTAGAACATGACCTGAATCTAAACGTGTGTCCCAGGATGAGCGACATCCCTCTTTCGGACCCCTTCATCGGTAGCTGATAGCGAGGTGTTCAAGTTGGGTCCAGCGTTGGGACGAATTCGGGAGTCGCCAGGTCAAAAGATGATTTTCCCTATGCTTAAATTTAGTGTTTGCTAGAAATGGGCGGTTATATGAAAACAGATGCAGCAGACGGTCGCCATTATCTGTTCTGTGAGTCGCAACACCATAAGGTCCACCCAATTGTCTTTCGCTTAGTCTAACTACTTGAGCATTGAATTCATCAGCCACTATTACTATATCAGAGCGTATAACATTTTGAAGAATGTTAGAAAGTTTCCGTTAAAATTTATCTTTTACCTCGTCCTAACTGCAGTCAGTGGGAGCGTAAGCAGAGACAACAAACAGGCAACGGCGTGTCCCTATCCTTCCGAGTCCTTATTGTGACGTTTAGCCGGACGGCGCACAAGTGACTATCTACTGGAATCCAGTCTAGGAGAGCTAGTTTTGCCATAGGACTCAATGCTATACCCACACTAGCAAGGCCACGGGGAGCAGGAGCACGGCTTCCAGATACACGAAGAGTAAATCGAGCTGGTTCTTCATGTTGACATAGTTTCCGAGACGCAGCATACATCGATGGTGCGAGATCCCAAAGTCCGATCTAAGGAAGCCTGTTTTCCTATTTGGTATAAGGCTCGAACATTAAAAGCTCCAACATGTAGTTTACGATGGCGTTTCAAGAGACCAGGAGTAAGGTTTCGTGAACTCGAATCGTTTGACTTAGCAGTGCACGGCGATAAAGGAATAAGAGAAGGGTTAGTCGTGGAGATAAGAGAGATGTTAGGGGTGTAGGAAGGATTGGCTTTTAACCCATTTGTTTTCGTGTGCTGTTATGTGTATGAGGGTGGATGTCACTTCCTGGCCACCAACACCGTGAAAGGACGTTTCTCGAGGAACCTGAAAAAGAGGTTGGATTAGTGTTGATCTGAGCGACCTGGGAGCATGATCGTAAAACCCAAGGGCGACTGCTTGAGGTCGGTCACACACAGCCTTTTCATGAGAAGTTTTTGAAGTGTTATGTTATGACCGCTCTTGTTTAAAAGGTCTTACTACCGGAGACGGAAATTCGTGAGGTAAGGAGAGGTGTGAAATTTTCAAGGTCGACCTTTCCAAATCCGTTCCTTCTTTTCGAGAAGGCAGCATCGCCGCAGATCCCGGTTGTCCGAGGGAGTTTCATCAGCGCTGATGATCTGGTGACTGACGAAACCTCAGCTCGGATACAGAAGGCTCGATTGACTTTCACCAACTTGCGTAACTTATGGCATAGGCGAGATATTCGTTCGCCAGCCAAAGGATTAGTCTACGGCGCAGCAGTTTGCTCCATCCTACTATACGAATGCGAAACATGGTCGGTGAGAGTAGAGGACATTCGTAGATTGCTTGTCTTCGATCATAGGTGTCTGCGAAGCATAGCTAGTATATCATGGGACAACAGAGTAAGCAATGTTGTCGTTAAGAAACGAGAACTAGGTAAGGATGGCAAATCCATAGATGAAGTAGTGAAACTTCATTAGTTGAGGTGTTTGGGACATGTGTTACGTATGCCTAACCACCTACCGAGGTTTTGGGGCGTAGGAGCAGGCTAGAAGAATGCTAGGGGCGGCCAGACCAAGACACGGCAGAAATCTATGAAATCACTGACAGGTGGACTAAGTCATGTTGGTAGATGTAGGCTACTTGGTTGGGGTCCCCAAGACGTAAGTCACCAATGGTTAGAGACCTTGAACGACATGGCTCTAAACCGGTTGCCATAGTGCAAGGGCATCGACTCTTTGTGTTCTCTCAAATTCTAGCCTTCTGAATTCCTAACCATCTCTCTCTTTCTGTTCCTAACTTTATCTCACTGAATTATACTTCTCGAATCATATCTTCACACCCCAATCTTCTCCAATACTGCTAATACTTCTACTATCGCTACCACTATTGGATTCAAATTGACAATTGCGTCTGTTCTAATGCTGTATAGCAGCCTGAATTGATGTACGTACGTGCGAAGTTCTGTGTTGTATCTGTCTGTCCTAGCACTTTTTTGAGAAAAGGTTTGGAATTAATGTACACTATACACAATTGTTGTTTAAAACTTATGAACTTCCAGCATACAAAATATTAACATCGTTCATGAAATAAGACAAAACTAGGGGAAATTAGTGCACGAACCTGGGAATACAACTTCTTGATCATTGGAAGCCCAAAGATGTCGAATGACTTCATCGTTTGGAAGTTTAACTCTAGCACCGATCGTACGTGAAGTAATCACTAAACCAGTTATTTGTACTGTGAATAATTTCCCCAGTAAAGTTTCATTCACAGATCTACGTAGAGCGTAATGTTCTGCACCAGAAGCTCGCCCATATTTAGAAAATTTAGCAGTTATGTGAGGAATACTGGGAGTGCTGCAAGTTTTCAAACCTGTCCCGAAGTCAGGTATTGTAGCGGATTCCCAATGAGTTATTATATCTCGTGCAGTTGAATCTAGTAAATAAAATAATAGGTAGACAGTGACACAACTTCGAAAGCATTCTGGTAATTTTTAACATAAATTCGAAGTCATTTCATGAAATATACGAAAATTACGTGGTGCTAAAACAACAAACAAGCCTGACGTACAGTTAAATATGCAGAAGAATTAGGATGATAAATGATTAAATAATGTTTATAATGAGTGAAATTTCTCGGCAAAATTTCGTCACAATGAAATACTGTTAACTGATCCCTAATTGGAGGATTTTCAATGAACCCTTGATATTTCTTCTGAAATGAGAACTGCAAAACAAATAGAATAGAATACAGAGTTAGGCCAAATGGTTTTGGGGATGAATAACCGAACAATTAAAACCTACTGAATATCGAGAAGAATGGTGAATACAGTTAGTTTGTGAGATAAAATTACTAAGAGAATTAAGGTACATTCGTTTGACTGATATCAGCCAATCATTCGCGACATAGAACCTGATACATATGTACATCGTTTCAAGTTATCATACACCATTATCACAGCGTAACGAAACTACTTCACGGCAAATGACAGAGCAATAGAAACAGTAACAGTATCAGTATTATTGAAAGCAAAATATGAGTATTGAAAAAAAGAAGAGGTCTAAGATTTCGAGATTCAGGTTCTAAATGAAGACAAAGAGTAAATGGAAATGAGTCATTGTTACAATAGGCGTGCTAATACCAACAATATAGTATGCAAGAATTAACATGGCTCAATCGAATTCTCAATTCAAGAATCGATCTAGGTTTGGTCTCCTCTATCTTTCGTTCAACTTGCGCTTACATGTTGAGGTAGTCGATGGACGGGCATACGTAATACATGTCCTAAATATCTCATGTAATAAAGATCCGCTATCTCGTCATACTTGCTTAATACTTTACGTCTAGCCTCGAAATTGCTTACTCGATAATGCAAAAATATGTGAGCGGCACTTTAGAAACATCTTTGATTGAACATTAGTAATCTACGCATATTCTCTTTTCTTAAGAGCAGTTTTGAATCGACAAACCTGATGAGCAGTTTTTCCGTACTTTTGTCGACAGGACTTCTTCGCCTACGCTACAAGTGACGTAAACTGCCGAATACCGGTCACGCTCTCTTAATAGGTGCCAAATTTTGTCACACATCAGACCATTGAGAGTCCTAAGATAAATGAAGCACTAGACAGACTCAATCACGTCACTGCCTATCATTAATTCAGACACTGACACAAGGCAGTCCTGAATCAACATTTTGCATTTACAGTGAAAGAAGCCCACCCTAAACATGGTTTTATGGTTGCCTAAGGTGAGCAGAAAACTTTGCATTTCTCCAGTATATCGCCGAGCAGAACTGTTTCATTTGCGTGTTCTAAGTCAATAAATGAATCCCCTAGTAGATCATACATAAGTAACAAGAGCAAGGAAAAGTATAAAATAAAGCAACGGATGTGGGGAATTCTTTATTATATGTGTTCTAGACATTACAAAAAATTATAAAGTCTAATAGAAAGAAATTCCTTTAAATAGCATGGTGAAATATCCTAACAGCAATAATCATCAAAAATAGAACCAACCTTGGGGTAGACCGAAAGAATTTATTAATTCACAAAGTACTCCAGGTAATTCGATAATAGTATTGAGAGCATCCCATGCCCATTCAAGTAACCGATTCACTTCTATACATGGGTTTGAGTGAAAGGAACTTTTATGCCTTTTAGTCGATCTATTTAATAAATCTAGTGAAGAATAAGCCTCACTCGGTGGTGCTGACCAAAACCAACCATAATATAAAGGATAGATGTGCTCGAAATTCCGGACTTTAGCTTCAATGGTATCAAAACTGACAAAATGTACATTACGCATAGTTAAAGTTTCTGCATCAAATCGCCATGGTGTTTGTGGGATGACCATGATTAGAAAGTAGTGAAAACGACGAGCTAAGTCTGTGTAGTAACGTGTTTCCCAACTTCTAATATTTGTATTGTCAATAACTATCGGGCTGTATCCAGAACATGCAGCATTATACGCATTATTATGACACCATTCATGAGCCTCATTCAATCGATTGATATCGAATCGATACTCGAACCCGTCAGATTCCAAATACCAGAAGTCGTCTGCAGAGAAAATCTATAAAAAGTATGTAAACATAACGATGGGCACTAATTTACATACATGTACTTAAAATTAATGATAATAATATAAGTTATCATATTTCATCTGAACATGATGAAGAACGAAGTCAGCTTAAGCGCAGGCTGATAAAAAGCCTGCGCAACGACCGTGAACAGTGGTGGGTGGCGAAAGCAAAAGCGATGGAAAAGCCAGCGGCAATAGGCAACAGTAGACAACTTTTCCGACTTATCAAGGAAACTGGTATTAGGAATCCTAGTGTAAGTGAGACTATCTCGGAAAATGATGGGACTATTATTTATTCTCAATCCAGGAGACTGGATCGATGGGCAGAACACTTTAGGGATCAGTTCAATTGGCCTCGAGCCACACTTCGGTTACCCACGATCTCCAGTCATCCTGAATAGCGAATCAACGTTAAATCCCCCTAGGCTTTACGAAGTTGAGAAAGCGTTAGGAAATCTGAAGCGAGGACGAGCTGCAGGTCCTGATAGACTGATCCCTGAGATATTTGAGGATGATGGTCCAGTTTTAGTAGCTGGGTTGACTGAGATCTTAAGTAGAATCTGGGAACCGGACGTAATCCCATCCGAGTGGTCTCAATCCTTGATTGTCCCAATCTATAAGAAAGGACAAAAGTCTTCTTGTGACAATCACAGGGGAATAAGTCTAAGTAGTATAGTGTCCGTCAGAAATGTCCACTTTCTCCATTCTTGTTAAATTTTATCATAGACATGCTCCTAGAAATAACATTATCCTCGTCTGAATTTTCAGGAGTAGACCTACCAGGTGACTCGCTTATCGACTTAGAATATGCCGATGACATTTTCCTACTTGGTGAAGACGCTGACAAAATGCAGAGTCCTCTGACCACCCTAAGCAACAATGCAAGCATGTTGGGGATGCGGTTCTCCCCCTCGAAATGCAAAACGTTGCTTCAAGATTGGGTTGCATCGGCACCTTAACTAGTGATAGGTAGTGAAGTGGTCGAACGTGTAGACCGCTTCACTTATCTTGGGAGTCTCATCAGTGCCGATGGCCTGGTGAATGACGAAATCTCAGCACGGATACAGAAGACTCGATCGGCTTTTGCCAACCTGCGTCACCTATGGCGCAGGCGAGATATCCGTTTGCTGACTTAAGGACAAGTGTACTGTGAAGCAGTTCGCTCCGTCCTACTGTAAGGATGCGAGACTTGGCCTTTAAGAGTAGAGGACTTCCGTAGGTTACTAGTCTTCGATCATCGATGTCTCCGAAGCATTGCTCGTGTATCATGGGACAACAGAGTAAGCAATGCTGCAGTTAGGAAACGAGTTTTAGGTAGGGTCGGCAAATCCACAGATGAAGTAGAGAAACTTCATCAGTTGAGGTGGTTGGTACATGTGTTACGTATACCTAACCACCGACTGCCGCGACGAGCTATGTTTTGCAGTGTAGGAAGGAGTAGATTGGAAGAAAGGATCGTTTGCAATGGCGCAGGTGCATCCGCTCTTTGTGTTCTATGAAATTCTAAGCTTCTACATTCCTCATAACCTCTACCTTCCTTCTTCTAAATTTATCTTACTGAATTATACTTCTCGAACCATATCTTTGCTCCCTAGTCTTCTCCATCACTGCTAATACTCCTATTATCGCTATCACTCTTGGATTTGAACTGGCAGTTGCGTCTCTGTGCTGATGGGGTATGGCAACCTGAACTGATGTACTTACGTACGAAGTTCTGCGTTCTATCTGTCTGTCTATCATATTTTATGGAAACTTCACATACATAAATCTGAACTGAATAGTCATAAATATCAACCTTAAAAGTTAACTAACTGCAAAATAGGTGGTACCATAGCTCTTTCAACTTCTTTTTTGTATGTTTGCATTGTCCCAAGAATCTATGTGATAGCTGAAACGGTACTGATGACAAAATTATCGACTAAACCTGTAAAAACAATGTGTATTCTGGGTTAAAATTCCTTCGAACTTATTTATGTAAACACTAAGAATTCAGACTGATTTCCACTACTGATTGGATTGGGCAACAGAACTACTGATGCATACAAAGATTTTGACCTGTAAAGATAAAAGTGTCAAAGTACGTGAGACTGAATTCTGATAACCTTCATATAAAGATGGTAAAGGAATGAACGCAGTTTCAGTGATTTGACGACATTATGCAAACAGAGTAACTTACTAAAGAAATCTAATCAGTGAAAACAACATAAAACCTGATACAAACGTGCATTTAATTACAACAATCAAAAATATATCCGATGAAAACATACTCACTTTAGCCATAGGAAAACGTATTCGGATGCATTCAGACAAAAAAGATTTTCCTGAACCAGGTGGCCCGCGCAATATAAACATGAAACGAGACTTTATAATCCAATTTCCAATCTCGTTATCCGTGAGAAATGGAAAATTTACATACTCTTTTATCACTTTCGGACCTTGTAGAGGATAAGATACGGACTTTGGTTGACAATGATAACTGTCATTTGATTTCTCTCCATGATGTGAAGCTCTTTCTTTGTGTAAGAAAGATGTATGTTTGTCAAGAACACTACTGTTCTCTGCTGATATAGGTATGGTTTCATTTGCGCATAAATGATTTACATCCGAATCGTGAATTGGATCACCTAACTCAGGGTCTGATAAATATCTGTTAACTGTTTGAGGACAAAGAAAATTACATATATTTCCCATATTCTTGATTACTGAACAATAAGATAATGATAATAGTTTTTTCTTACATAACAGAGAGTACGATGCTCTATATTGTGCATATGAAGACCTGTTAACACAAAAATTGAAAAGCATATAGGAAGATAGCCAAAAATGTTGCAGAATGCACATATCGTTACATATGTACATTACTAAAAAAGACTGCGGAATAAACCAGTAAAGGTGTCATTTGAAAGTTTAGAACATAAATAAGCATCCGATGAATAGTCCTAATTTATTGCGAACGACCTGTGATTATTAAATCTAAGACACAGAACCAATGAAACATGAGAAATTGTCATATCAATGTAGTCAAATACAATATTCCACAAAAAATATCAAGGATCAGATTACATATAAGGTTGCTACCTTATTTATTAATGTTTACGATTTCACAAAGCACCACTTTGTTGCGATCGCTAAGATAAGTGGCAGTGAGAATACAATTTACTAAACGCATACAAAAAACACTGGAAGTGTAGTTAAACAATCTATCTTATAGCCAAGTATTTGATAGCAGAAATCAGCGATTATTTTCTCAGGATAGTACAAGAATTTATTACGAAAGTCCAGAACTTTCTTAACATCTAGGCATTCTACAGAACAGCAAAGACAAGCATAAAGCCACAGACATTGTCTACGATAAAAAGTAGGAACATGCAGACGTACAAATGTGTATCAATATACTGTTCTAATCCCAGAAGAAAAATTACAGGGTTACATGGTTTACCTCGGAAGTGAATTTCAATAAATGAATACTTGTAGAGAGTTGATGGTGGCCCTACAGTAGGATGTGTAGGAGAAATTGCTCACACGTTTTCGTGTTAAGATTGAACTTAAGCACCAACTACTAATCTTAGGCCAAACAAGCGATCCAAATATCATCTGGATGAAAATATAGGCTTTATTATGTATAATGGCAGACTGAATGATTAACCTGTAAGCGTTCACATGACCAAAAGTTACCAGTCGTGGCGCAAAAATCATCTTCACCGCACACTCATAATTACGAATTTCAGCGAAAATAAACAACTTTTCTCGGGCATTGTGTTCCAAGTTGCAAAGACATTTTTATCATGATAATTCGAGGAATTTCTTCTGTTGTCTGAATGATAAATTAGCAATTTACTACGACTAAACAGTTTCAAAGAAGAAATTTACTTCTTTCCAATATCCAATTATTTTTTCACGAGCTAGAATAAAACAGTTGATCTCTCTGCGCCATTAAAAGCCGACATCTTCTTCGTACGATCTTTCTTCAACGATCAAGCGTCGGTCAGAAGACTAAACAAACTACCTATCTTTGCATAGATTACTGTCAAGGTTATGATTCGAATTTAACATCCGCCGGTTGAATCAGCTGGTTCCCAAGCATATATTTCTGTCTTTTTATAACATTATTTCTCATTAGCCACATCTACCGGCAAAATTATTTCTGAAAAGATCATTTGAATGGTTCACAACAACATAATCAGACACTAGTTATCTTGCTCTTTCGAATAGAGTACTAGGAAGATGAACAACTGAGGTTACCGTAAGAGTTAAAAGATTTGGTAAATTTAAATAAGTGTAGAAATGTATGAATTCAGTCGACAAAGAGCATATCGCGTTGACATCGTTATTAATAAAATCCTGACAGCATGAAAAACTTTTGACTACAGGGATCTCCAACAGATGGTTAAAATGCTGTTTCTTTTCAGGATACCCTCGCTATCAGATTTAGGTAGTTTTTCAGACTATTTGAAACGTAGTCATGTAATTTTGAATTATTGCAATCAATATCGAAGTAGACGAAACAAATATGTAACAAGACGAGACAAAAGTAATTTTGTAGTGAATATGACTTTACCTGCCGCTTAAAGTCTCTTATTACCGTCAGTCTGACATAATACATAGCACATCCTGTCTTTTTGATTTCATTAGGTCTCCCCCCATCTAAGCAACATCCGCCCTTCATTTATAACATTCGATGTACGAATTACACTGAGACATAAGAATAGTGTTAGGAAAAAAGGGATTCTCAGTTAGATTTTCTCAAATGCAGATTATATCATGTTCTTTGGAGATATCCTGCAAATGAACGTTTTTTTGTGGGTTCTCTTCGTTTAAGGCCGCTTCATGATGCACAAATTCATATACATCAGTATTGACTTAAAATATTGAGTTGTGAGCTCAACTGATTCAAACTGACGGTTGTTCAGTTTCAAATACAGATTCTTAAGATATGTCATATAAACCTTCAGCTATCTCAAATTAGGTTTCACTTAGCGCAGTACCCTTGGGCTTAGAAGATGGATCCTTAACTTGGAGTTTACATTACACTGTCGAGAACCTGTCGCGTTCTTATTAAATCTAGGTCGTCGAATGTTCATGTCGAGTGGACACGTGCTGTGTGTCCGAAGTTAATTTTTATTGATTTCACAATGCGATTTTGATATGAAGATTCTTAAGACATACTTTAAGCTGTTGCACATTATTGGACAGAAATTTATCTTCATGTATGCCGATGCTACAATATAGTAGCAGAAATTCATAACATTCACATGATTACCAGTTCCCAACCTCAGCATTTTCGGTTTATACGGTTGTTAATTGGTCTTTGCGGGCTACTCTTTGTTGAGTGTTCTGTAGTATGAGCTGTTCGACTAGTCAAAAACCTGTTATTGCTGAGTACATTTTGTTACTCGTTTTTCTTTTTACGCATGTAGAAGCCTCTATTTTTACTCGATTCTCATCCATCTAGATAAGTTCAGCAGCTGGACTTGAACTATGCAATATTTCCTTATTTTCATTGTATGTAATATAGCAAAAACAACTGTTAATATATACAATGAGTATATGGGTTTGAACGTATTTACCTGCCTATTGAATATATGCAAAGATGTTTGACAGAGTAGAAGTTAAAGATTTTTAAGACTCAGAATGCAAAGAAAAACAAAACTTGATATGACCTGTGTCATAGTGGCAGTCTCTGACCCCTGTTACAAATTATTTACCATTAATCATGTTCGCCACGCTAAACACAAGTAAATAAATCGCTACCTAGCGTGCTTACCTATTATTATCCGTGCTCTTCCATCATAAATGTGAATTCATTATCCTAAAATTTGTTTACCCCATGATGTCATATCATACTGCTATATTCGCCAGTTACAACACTACAACGATTTCAATCCAATGTAAGATACTGCGAAAACCTGCACAATTCTCAGTAATCTCTCCTATTCATATGCGTCAAATAGCTTAAATACGATTATGAAGTTATGGATGTGGTATAATATATGCCTCAGATTGAAGAAGTGCCTAGATTAGGTAAATAGCTGTATTTAATCAAGCTAAGCTAAAAGTATGAGAAAACATTACTGGTGTTTATCCGCTTGACTATGATCACCACTAAATGTTCCGTACGGTCCCGTCATTAAAATTAAAACAAATCCATGTTCCAAGGTTTTATTGAAAGAGAACGTTGGCATTATATAGTGAGCAGGGCATTTAGAAAAATGGCTGCAACGCGAAGAGAACGTTGCGCACAAGAAGTCGAAGAAGTGTTTTTGGTACAGTTTATTTTTATGTTTATTTTTCACAAATCGTATTTTCTTCGTAGAAGCGTTCCACTACGTATGCATTAGTAGATAACACTTGAGTAAATGTAGGTCGTCTAGTGACAATGCATGAAGATGGTCTACTACACGGAGATCGCTCGACTTTGCTGAACAAAAATCGAAACCACGAAGCCGCTTTCGAAAAAACGTATCCACATAACATTGAATTAATCATCATCTTTCACATTTTCTTGCTGAGCTCCTACACAAAACGCTTCATTTTATGTAAAATGTAGGTGAAATAAAAAGGTTGAGTAGTGGAACCTAATGTTATAGAATGAAGGTTGTGATGTAAACATTTGTTTATTACTTACTGCTATTAAAGTTGAGGAAATATCAAGTGGAATATGGTTAGTCAGGATACTTCATTTATCACAAATGAGCCTGACAAGTGTGACATAAAGTTTGACAGGGACCATATTTTGATCAAGTTATGAGATATATCAAGCAATAAGTAACTTTAAGACACCGATGCTGACCTGATTGGTGTAACTAAATATAATTTAGCTAATTACAGACTTAGGGTGTGTCCGATTCCGATTATCTTGGATACTTTCATTGGTATGCTTGATGTGATCTTGTGCAATCATAAAGATACTATGGGTCTTTTCCTCTTCATAATGTTGTGTATATTCTCAAATTGTATTATTTAGTCTTCATATATTTTTGCTGCATATTAAGATGTATTAAATTCTTTTTGTCTCATAACACACACTTATGTTTCTTAAGAATAAGTTTCTAATACCTGCAAGGCTCAAATAAGAAACTGTTATTTAGGGGCAAACTAAAAATTTTATGTCTTCCTAACTATTCTCCAGTCCACTTGCCTGTGTTCCTCATATAAGATTTCGATAAACCAAAATGAAATCGTGTGAAAGGCTGAAAGATAAGAACTTTGTCGTTACCTGTTACACAAATGTTTTCTGTCTTCCAGGCTTTTTGGAATAGCTGGTTACTTAATGTCATTTTTAAGTGCATAGCTTAAACGGACATCAGTATAAATTCTTAATACCGAATATAAAAACAATTAGGATGCGGCATCACAGGAAACACGGATGAAGAACAACACACCTAACAATTCATCAACTTACTATTCTGAATCCCACGTGTCTAGTCTTATCATTTATTCAAAATCGTCAGCTAGAGCCAAAATTAGCATATTTGGTCAACGATCGCTTACAACTAGAGACGACCCGGCCATAGGACTAAATAAACATGTTTCATTGTAGTCCGTGCATCAAATCATTATACATTCCTCTTTGTGTTTTGAAGATGTGCATAATTTCAAAAGTATAGTTCACTTGGATTTCCAGTATTCACACAATCATTTCCCTATTCGTCGTCTTATTATTGATTCGTCTTCACTAACCTCCGTAAACCTAAGTGTGCAGTAAGTGATCCAATACAAGAAAGGAAAGATCTTAGTAATCATACATTTTTCGAACAAAATGAATCAGTTGAGTCATGATGACTCAGTTATGAACACCAAAATTATTTGGTCTTTCCGCCTCTTTCTCCTCCTTTTTTTATAACCTCATCTCACACCTTAAATAATAGCCTTGATATTTCTGGAGACTTACACTGTCAAACTATTATCTGGCAAACGCTAACAAGAATGCCAATATACATTTACCTTATCGATTCTTGTTATTTAAAGCCCAGCATTTAGCTTGCAATGATTCTCCTAATGATCATCAACAGCAACGCAGTTCTTCGCACGTACGTTCGTCAGTTCAAATTGTCATACCACATTAGCATGGAGATGCAATTGTCGATTCCAATCCCATAGTAGTAGAAGCATTGTCAGTAATCTAGTGAAATAAACTTAAAAAGACAAAGACAAAGTGGTGTGGAATTCAGGAGGTTAGGATTTGAGGGAACCCAAAGGATGAATACACCAACGCAAATGCACGAGATTTTGAGCCGTGTAGTTCAAGATCTCTAACCATCGGTGACATTTGTATCGCAGACCTCAACCAGGTAACCTACATTTGCCAACATGATCCAGTCCACTTGTCACTGACTTTGTGGATTTGTGCGATGTTTTGGTTTGGCCGCCCTTGGCTTTCATACAGCCTATCATTACACTAGGAATCATCGCTTACTGAGGCAATAGGTGGCTGGGAATGCGTAACGCGTTCCCCAATCACCTAAAACGTTGAAGATTCAATACTTCACCTATTGATTAACCATCCCTACCTAGCACTCGTTTCCCAACCACAGCATTACTTTTTGGGTTGCATTGTTGCCTGAAGTTGTTAGAAGACTCTTCGGTTTGTCAGTCTTCAACAAACAGAACTATGTCATGGGTCAACTCCCGAAAAGTCAGATGAAGTTAATGTTAACTCCAAACGATGTATACAACGAAGTTAAACAAGAATGGAGAAATTGGGCAGCC